ACACATCCCCTACCCCTGGGGCCTTGTTTATGAGTGCTGTCAGTGCTTCAGAGCCTCCTCTGACTTGGTGGCCTTTTTCTCCCTAGGTGGGGACTTCTGGGCTGACCAGACAACAGGCGTCGTGGCCCAAGCAACATGGCCTAGGTCAGTGGCCAGAAGTTCCTGGGAGGGGGGGCCTGATGTCGGGCGTAGAATGGCAGGTTTGGTGCAAGTTTATTTATAGCCCGTCCTTGAAAGAAATGAATGTGAAGAGGCCCTTAGCGCATTGGAGATGACTTGTGAATCCAGAGGTTATCATGGAGCTAGGGACCTCAAATGTGTAAACTAAAAAGGGCTCCAAAAAGAAAAAAAAAAAGGCTTCTAAAATAAGAATTGTAATGCAGTTTTTAAACTGGAGGAGTGACTTCATGCTGCCGCCCAGTCCTCTCTCCAAGGCCTCTGTGTCAGGTCGGTCGGCAAAGACAGACCCGTGTGGATACATTTAACCAAACATATTTCGTGGTTCTGAGATTGCTCTGCTAGCAGGGATAAAACCTCGCTTATCTTTGAGAACAAGGAATTAGGAGTGATTGTGAGTGAGCACACATACAGCACACTGCCTTTGTTGTTGCCCTACTTACCACAGCCTTGCTGTGCAGAACTGTGATTAAGAATACATGCGCTTTTGCCAAGCAGACCTGCATTCGAATTTTAAGGTCTATCATTTACCGCAGATTAATCTCTGAGCTTTATCTTTTTTTGTCCCCCACCCAGAAAATGGGGGTCATACTCTCCCTCTGATGGAAGTGTTGTGAAAATTAAATAGGGGACAGGTGTGATGTGTCTACATCCGTGTTGACTGAATAGCAGACACTGAGTGGTGGCAGTCCTTGGCAGCCTTGTTGTAGCTGTCATCGTTGCTCCTGTTTTTGGTAAGCTTTGTTAAAGTGATCCACAGAGCCCAAGAAGAATATGCTCTCTTGTACTCCTCAGAACCACCCCGAAAGTTGCCCTGCATGGGATCTACTGACTCAGAAACTCGGAGTGGGGGGTAAGTCGTTGCGCTCCACGTTCCAGCAGGTCCTCCAGGTGATTCTAGTGCTCACTGGTTTGGGAACTCCTCATCTCATACAAAATGCTCTGTGGGGAGCAGGGAAGGAGCACTTGTGCCTCACTCTGCTCTGTGTGGAACAATGAGGAAGTCTGACCCTGAAAGGCTGATGAAGGCTGATGTTGGGATGAGGTTATCCTGAGAGGGAGAATGTTTTCTCCTCTACACCAGAGGAGAAACGCCACCTTTAATTAAATGAAGTGATAGCCAACTTGTAATTATTCAAAGGTAATTAACAGTCTGTGAATCATGTAGAACATGTACTGCTACCTAAAATCCCCTCATTCAAAATTTTCCATCCACCCGCTCTTTTCTTGTAGCTTGGATTAAAAATGATGTGTAAGGCTGAACAGTGATTTACTTACTTATGCTACTTATTATGTTGATACTTCTAAAATTTGTGTTTCCCCTGATACCAAAATGGAACCAAGAAAAAGAAGATATTCATGAAAAAAATTGCTTATGAACCTTAAGAAACCATTCTTTAAACCGTTGAAAACTTACAGGAAGTAAAACCCAAATAAACCAGAAAGCTCTCCCCAGTACAACTGGTAAAACCTGGTCAATGGCAAGGAGAAGGTAGACAGTCCAGAAGAGTGAGAGCCCACAGCTGATGCAGTGTAGTCCTGGGAATTGTGGACTCATCACTTCCTGTCACTTCTGCCTTCTTCTGCCCTGCCCTTGGGGAGGAGCCTTGGGGAGTGAGACCCAAGGGAGGGTGAGGGGGGAGAGTGAGTTTCTTTCACAAAGTCTAGACCTCCTAAAACTCATCCTACCATGGCCACTTGTGAGGTCTTTTCTCATCTCACAATTTTTTGGGTTTTTCAGTTGAAGAAGGGTAGTGGTTAATCTTAAAAAAAAAAAAAAAAATCAAAGCTTGTTTCAAAATTGGTGTAGTATTCCATATGTCTGCCAATAAAAATCTTGATGTGGGTTTTAACTTTTTTAATCTAATGAAGTAAAACCTTTAATTAAACAGAGTCCCTAATTTAATGGGATTTCTTCCCTGTGGGAGGTACCTTGATTTTTGAATCACATAGCAATAAGCCAGTGTTCGGAATGTTGTAAAATTGGGTTCTTATTATTTCCATAGCAATTTTTATTATTTAAGAACTAAAACCTAGAAGTGTGTGGGAAAACTTACGGAACTGATACCAAGATAAGGCGGTGCTGATCAATTTAGAAACACTTCAGTACTTTTAAGCCAGAGTAGCTTTTCTTACAGGTATGTGTGGCATTGATAGGAAAATTACGTGAGGACCCCAGGTGGCCTGATGGTTGAGGCATTACTTGTTCACACCCCCAGTTTTCAATCTGGAGCTGAGAATTTTGCCATTTGGGGTTACCTTTTTGGAGACAAAGGTTGCAATTCAGAAGTGGGCCGGGACTCGAGTGTTGGAACCTGCAGAATCAGGAAGGGAGAGAATGGTAAAGCAGATGCCCTGGGGAAGCTGCCGCTGTGTGCACCCCATGCGGGGTCCTCATACCACTGAGCTTTGGAAAAGGGACGGCTGGTCCTTCAGGTTGCTCACAGGACAGTTGCGTTCCCCACCCCCTCTGCAAACAAAGTGGCGGGAAGAGCAAGTTTGAAGGAAAAAAGTCACTTCCTGATCAACCCTCTTTTTTTTTTTTTTTTTTAATTTTTAAAATTCATCAAGGAATTACCAAAATTCTAAAATAACTGAAAGGAATTCCTGAGCAGTCAAGTCCACCATGCTTCTTTCAACCAGAGATAAATCTGACTGTCCAAAATATGTGAGATTCAAGCTCTGTTAAAGAAGACTCCAAAGCCAGTTTCTGATTTAGTTTTTTACTCCTCTTTTCAGTATGTTGACTTCAACATAAATTGTTCCCTTGTAATTTTCCTATAAAGTAGGCCATCGAGATATCCATCGTTTAGGAAAAGTTTTTGTTGTGGTGGTCTAAGCAGGGAATTCTTTTCCACATCTAGGTGAATATAGCCAAGTAGCTTAGACTCCCTACCACCTTAAGGCTATGGAGATAGAGAAAAATCACTTTTTAAATGGCTGTTTTTTAAAAAAATTGTTTTTGCATATGTCTTCCAGAGTTTATTTTATTTTTAATTACAAGTATGTTTTAAAAAATACGCTGTAAGCATGGTGGCTGTTTTTTAATTTGAAAATATTTAATGATTAGTTTCTGTGTAAAGTACCATGCATTAGCATCAGGAGAGAAATAAATGAGAGGTTCTGTTTTGATGGAGTTCACTTTCTGGGGGAAAGGTGAGGAGGAGAGAGAAGCAATCAGTATCTTCCATCAGCACAGGCTTGGTGGATTTGAGGAAGCCTTTAGAGTGGTTATCATCGGAACCACTCAGGAGATGTGCTGGTAGCTGAAAATTGGGGATGGGGATGTGAGGTTGAGAGAGAAGCAGAGGAAATGTGTGTGATTAGAATGAAAGCATCAAAGTCCGGATACCAAGGAGGAGTAAGGAATAGTCTGGAATGCCTGGAATACAGAGATGGTTTGCAGGAGAATCCTATTTCATGGGTAAGCCGGTCTTGGAAGAATTGCTTATCGTTCAGAGTTCTGGGGTGAGGAGTGGAATGCAAAAGACTGCTTTTAACAGGATATGTTTGGGGAATGGACATGGCTGGCTGGTTAGAATGCATGGGGCAGGCCTGCAGGGAAACAGTGGTGGGTAATATCTAGAGTAGATCTGTTCCAGATTCTTGGGGGGATTCTAGCACCAAAGCAAGGATTTAGTTTATTCTGCATCAACAAAGAGCCACCAAATGCCTGGTATTTTGAAATGTGGACAGTGGCATGAGAACCATAGCTTAGATTGTGTTTATGTCCATGAAAAAGCTAGTTTAGAGGGACAAGATGTTGGGGAGGCAGGGAGAGCAGTAAGAGGGAATAAGAGAAGTCATGAGAGCAGAGAGGTCAGGAAAAAGGGGTGTCTGAGATCAGGACCAGAGTTTCTAGAGGTACATACGGTTTTAGCAGGACAGTTTAATTTTCCTTCTTATTTATTCACATAATGTTGGGGGCGAAGATTCAGTAGCTGCCCTAGAAGCAAGTGTATGAGGGCAAAAATTCAGTTTATAGTTCCTGTTTTCATTATTATATATCCCATGTGGGGGGTCAGGAGGGTGTGGCCTGTGTTCCCCACCTGAGGCAGGCCCACTTTGGTTTACCTACTGGCTAAAACTGTACTCTGGTTGGTTTCCTTCTCTGCCATTAGTCAGTGAATGCATTTTTAACCCCTTTTGGTGCCAGGGCTGATGATTTAGGATGTATTATTATGTGGTTTAAGTAGGGCAATCAGATTATCAGACTTCTTGGTAGGTAAAGCTGACATCTAAAATTGGATTTTCCCATCCCTGATATTTGAAATGAGAAATAAAAATTATCTTTTTGGGTTTAACATGCCAAGACACTCCCAGTAGAATAGGCTGAGAATAAAGTAAATGCTGTTTTGGGTGCTTGGTAATCTTTTAATTATGAAATAAGCCTTTTGATTTTAATCTTCCAAAATGTATAATACTGATCCAGGAAAACAGCCTTTCTTAAAGTTCACATCCTGCTGACTCCGTCAGATGAAAAGCTCCTACCTCTACCCCATATTTTGCAAGCTGAAAGTAAAAATATCATTAATCTTGTCTCTGTTCCACGACTGCCTATAAAAGACTGTTCAGTTTGGAGTCAGTCCTGAGTCAGTATTCCAGAGTGAATGCTTAGGTTTCTGGAGCCAGGACCAAGGCCGGAGAGTCACAGCCTTTAATCCAGGAGTGGGTTGAGGGACTTAGGCCTTCTTTAAAACCTTACCCTTGTCATCACTTCTTGTTGACTTCTCCTCTTCTCCCTCACACATGCACATATGCATAGCAAAACTTGGACACTGATACATTTCATTATTTTTATTCTTTTGTGGCATCTGAAACAGCTTGTACAATGAAGACAGAAACCTGCTTCGAATTAGAGAGAAGGAAAGACGCAACCAGGAAGCTCACCAAGAGAAAGAGGCCTTTCCTGAAAAGATCCCCCTTTTTGGAGAGCCATATAAGGTATTTATTTATTTATTGAATACTAGAAGGCCTGATTTATCACCATATTTAACTCTGTAATGAAGGTGAGTTTGAACAAGGGCCATATATGTGGAAATAAGACAACTTATCTTAGATTGTCTTTGAAAATAAACTATGAAAATTCTCTGAACCTTGTTCAAATTGCTAGAGTTTGTGATCTTCTTTTATAATGTTAGTCTCCTGTCTTTAGTAATGTTTGTCCAGGACAGACTTCTCAACAGGGGAACCGAGTTTAAACTGCATGTTAAATGTTAGGTTACACATTAAATTGAAGTTTGTTTTTTTTTTTTTCTCTAAATGGTACTATGTAACATTATTTATTAAATGCTGATTTTCCTTAGTGCCCTCCGCCCGCCCCCCTCCCCCCATCTAACTCTGCTATCTTTCTCCAGACAGAAAAAGGTGATGAGCTATCCAGTCGAATACAGAACATGTTGGGAAACTATGAAGAAGTGAAGGAGTTCCTTAGTACCAAGTCCCACCCTCATCACTTGGATGCTTCTGAAAGTAGGTTGGGAAAGCCAAGATATCCTTTATTTCCTGAGAAGGGGAGCAGCGTTCCACCCCACTCCTTCCACACTAGTGCCCACCACCAGCCTGTTAACACTCCTGCCTCTGGACCACTTCCTGTTGGTAACATTAGCCACAATCCAAAGATGGCACAGCCAAGAATGGAACCAATGTCAAATCCTCATGTCAAAAGCTATGGCCCACCAGACAGCCAGCACCTGACCCAAGATCGCCTCAGTCAGGAGGGTTGCGGCTCCAGTCATCACAAAAAGGGTGAGCGCAGAGCTGATGGAGACCGCTGTGCTCTGGTGACAGGCTTGGCTCCAGAGAGGGAGCTTGCTCCCTTACTCTGCTTGCCTTCTCCAGTTCCCCCACTGTCACCTGTACATTCCAACCAGCAAACTCTTCCCAGGACACAAGGAAGCAGCAAGGTTCACAGCAGTAACAGTAACAGCAAAGGCTATTGCCCGGCCAAATCTCCCAAAGACCTCGTGGTAAAGGCCCACGATAAAGAGACTCCTCAAGACAGTTTAGTGGCAGTTGCCAGCCTTGGCGTGGCCCCTCCCCAGCCACCTTCTCAGACTTTCCCCCCACCTTCCCTCCCCTCAAAAACTGTTGCAATGCAGCAGAAGCCCACGGCTTATGTCCGGCCCATGGATGGTCAAGATCAGGCTCCTAGTGAGTCTCCTGAACTGAAGCCACTGCCGGAAGACTACCGGCAACAGACCTTTGAAAAAATAGACTTAAAAGTGCCTGCCAAAGCCAAGCTCACCAAGCTGAAGATGCCATCTCAGTCAACTGAGGTGAGTGGAATTTTGTATCTGGGGCAATTCCAGTGTGAAGGAAAATTCGAGATGGAAGTTTCTGGAGAACTGGGGACCTGGGTATCCATGGCTTTTGGGCTGTGAGATTCCTTTTTGGCCTTAGGATCTTGTTGCCCCACAGAGAACTCAGGTCTGAAAGGAATTATTGCTAACAGATACTGAAATGTGATTTTCAGGAAGGTTTTTTGTTGTTGTTTTTCAGTATTTTTACTGAACCATAATTTATATGCTGTAAAGTATAGATTTAAGAGTACAGTTTGCTATGTTTTGAAAAATGTATACATCTGTATGGCCCACAGCCAAGTCATGGTATTTATCATGAGAAAGTTCCAGGAAGATTTTGAGCTGTCATGATTTTTTGTTTTTGTTTTTACTTGTTTGGGGGAACGCTGACTTTTTTTTTTTTTTTTTTTTTTTTTTTTTTTTTAATTTATTTGACAGAGAGAGGGAACACAAGCAGGGGGAGTGGGAGGAGAAGCAGGCTTCCCGCTGAGCAGGGAGCCCAATGTGGGGCTCCATCCTAGGACCCAGGGATCATGATGACCTGAGCCAGAGGCAATCACTTAACGACTGAGCCACCCAAGCCACCCGAACACTGACTTATTTAACATTGTAGAGCCAAAAAAAAAGGGGGGGGGAGGGTTAATTCCTCAGCTCCAGTTGATTTTTCTGAGATCCAAACCATAAAAAAGTAAAAATAAGAGATTAAAATGTTGAAGGCAAAGTATTTCTAAAGATGTGTTCCGTGTAAATTACAAGAAAATCTGAAACTAAAGTTCTGTCTAATGTATTTTTATTTACCACCTAAGAAGACTGGGGGTGTCTCCTTTGAAGTGAGTCACAAAGACGATATAGAAAGCTATTCAGCAATGTTTTTTTCAAGTGACCAAAATACTTTTATCTTTTTAAACAACAACAAAAAAATTCCTTTCTCCGCTCCTTTGGTAAATGGCTGCATTGTATTTGAATGAAGAGAATCAGGGCCCACATCTTATCAGTGAAATTCTAAATTAGCAATAGTTACTCCAAAATTCAGATTAGTAGTGCAAAGTGGAATGTTTGAAGTGAATTTGTCTGAAAGCTTATCTGTTAAGGTAATGTCCTTGGTTTAGTCACAGCTATTGTATAAACCTTCTAATTTGCATATCCATTGCTCAAAGGCTTCAGTGTGCAACCAGATTGCTGTCTTACCTGGGGCTTGAAGGTAAAAATTCCTTAAGGCTTAAAAACAAAACCAAACAGACTCCAGGAAAGATAACCCTTATCTTGAAGGAGGAAAATCTGTTCCTCTGGGGTGTCAGCTTTTGGTTTAGAAGAGGTTATGCACTGTCCTCAGTCAGCTGTTGAGCTGGAGTGAGTCTGGATGTCTTCAGAATGGGACTTGTGTGGGGGCTGAGGGAAAAATGGGAAAGGGGGAGGACAGCAAGTGGTGGAAGTGATCAAGCTGGCAGAGCTCTACATTTAACCTCAAGTCATGAAGATTCACTGTAATGAGATATTTGTTAAACGTTTTGTGCTGTCCTGGGTGGAGGGGTAGGCAGCAAATTAGGGTGGAGTGGGATGAAGTGAGATATCCCCCCCTCATAATGGCCAGTCAGCCTGCTTTATAATTTTTTCAGTGAAGAACTTAGTGTGAATTTCTTTGCTTTGTTTGTCAAATAAGATATGTTGTTTTTCCCAGTTTAAAAAACCAATGAGAGGTGAATTTAAACGTATTTTCTTAAAAAAAAAAAAAAAGCAACTAAAAATTGCTTTAAAGCAAATTTAAGAAAAATCAGCAAATGTTTACATTGTTTACCAAATGCTGGACCATATGTCTAAGTGGGGAGTGAAATGCCAAGCCAGTACTGGTCCCTGCCACAGGGACGAGGACAGTCTAGTAGTGTGTAGGTCAGCCTCCACACCAGAAACAATTAGAGTGCAGACTGAGTGCAGACTGTCCTACTGCTTGGTACTTGGGAAAAGTTTCAGATAGCAGCCTTAAAGCTGGGAACCTGGTTACTGTGGTCAACCAATTGGATTTCCAGTAGACCTTCCAGAGGAGAGTCCTGGTTAACTTTTTCCTTCCTTGGTGAAAGACAGATAAGCCAAGTTGAGATTTCTCTAAGGCCTCAAAGCTCCTCAGATTTAGTGTGTATTTCAAACTTAGGACCATGCCAGATGGCCCGTGAGTATTTTCTGAGTGGATCTTTGAAATGAGCAAAATCCTCCCCAGGTTCGGTAATTGGAGAATGGGGTTTTCCTGGCACAGGGTCATCTGCTGGCAGTAGTTTGAGTAGATGTAAACTTTTCTGTGTCTGGCCTGTGTTTGCAGCAAGCGTTCATTTTAGTAGGATGGCTCTGTCTAGTTTCTCTTCAGGGTTATGCTAGTATCGGCTGTAGTACCAACTGCCTTGGAGTCCCTGGGCAGATGGAGGGTGCCGCACAGCCGGTGTGAAGGGGGAGTTCAGAGTTAAGATCTCAGAGTGGAGGGGGCGTCAGTCCAGGAAGCAGGGGTATTAAGATCTCAAATTTTAATATTCTAATGAATCAAAGGAAGGCATAGAGATGGGGCTCCAAAAAGCAGGGAGTTCACGCCCGAGCAAGTAAACTCTGGATATAGAACCAGAATATTAGGAGTATCTAGGGCTGTTTGTGACTGTGACAGTGGGGAAGAAGGCTAGAGAATGGGGGATAGAGGAAGTTGGCTCTTGGTAGCCCTGAGAGAAGGGGCATGGGGATAGCTAAGTGGTTTTCCTTTATTTGCTTAATTTGTCCTAAGGCAAGTCAGAGGAGGTTTTCTTTTCTGGCTCTCTGGGTTTGAGGGTTTTGCGGTTTGTTTCTTTGCTGCCACCCCCTTCCCCATGGCTTCCACGAAACAGTATTTTAAAAAATGAACCAAACTGGGAAAATCGTCTCGACTGCCTGGCTCTCCTTCATTCTCAAGCCACGTCCATGTGAGTTCCTTACACCACACTGCCCTTGCATTTTGTGGGAAAAAAACGTGGTTTGTATATTTTAGTTGGTTCTCCTAAAAAATGATACTCTTTTCTGGAATAAGTCATTCTCACAGTTAAAACTTAGTCTTTCCTAGAATCCTACAGGACAAAAATGATCCAAAGGTCAATATTCTTTTGTTGTTGTTGTTGTTGTTGTTGTTGAAGGTTTTATTCTTTTATTTGAGAAAGAGAGTGAGAAAGAGTATGGTTGGGGTGTAGGAGGCAGACCCGGAGGGAGAAGCAGACTCCCTGCTGAGCAGGGAGCCCAGTGCGGGGCTTAGTCCCCCGAGGACCCTGGGATCATGACCTGAGCTGAAGGCAGATCCTTAACTGACTGAGCCATGAAGGGGCCCCAAAAGGTCAGTAATCTGACTGCATTGAGGCCTGGCTCACAAAAATCTGCCCTTGGTTTCTGTGGGCATGTCAGTTTTAGTTTTGTGTCATCTGGAAGATGTCTAGCAGCTTGAAATGACCCATTGGAGGGGTACAGCCAAGACTCGGACACTTTCTAGCAGTAGAGTTGCCACATCAGATGGACCTGCCCAACCAAGCTGAAGGCTGAGTGAGATTCCTCTCTATCCCTCTTTTAATTTTATTTGAGACCCAACAACTGATGGTAGGGAAGGCAGAGGGACAGAGGGAGAAGAAGACTTCTGACTGAGCAGGGAGCCTGAAGCCCACCTTGATCCCAGGACTCTGAGATCATGACCTGAGTCAAAGGCAAATGCTTGACTTGAGTGAGCCACCTAGGCACCCCTCTTTTTTTTTTTTTTTTAAAGTAGGCTCCATGCCCTGCGTGGAGCCCAGCACAGGGCTTGAACTCATGACCCGGAGATCAAGACCTGAGCTGAAATCAGGAGTTGGATGCTCAGCCAGCTGAGCCACCCAGTTGCCCCATCCCTCTTTTCCACCCAAAGATACCAGATGAAAGTGAGAGAAAAACTGGGGCATGTCTGTGTTGTGTTCCTGAGCATAGGCCCCAGGATGGGGAGTGGGGGATTAGATTACAAGCTTTATGAAATAGATGTTTTATTGACACAGAAATGGAATAAGCCAAGATGGGCATTTTAAGTTGTGTACTGGGTTTAGAATATTAGACTTCTGTAGCTAAATGTACACAGCCCTTTCATTTTGTAACTAAGGCCTGGGAGGAGGAAGTTGCAGAATTTGGCCAAGATTTACAGTTAGTAGCAGAGCTGGAGCTCAAACTCTCAGTTCTGTGATCTTTCTACTTAGGCTTATTAAGTACGAATGGAGACTGCTGGAAGGTCTTGAGCAGGGCAGAGATGGATCTTCCTTTTCTGAAAAAAATCATTCTGGCTTCTGGGTAGAAAATGGCTTGAGGGACAGGGCTGGAAGCAGGGAGACCAGGTAGGGCTTGAGAGATGATGACAGTTTGGAGTAGGATAATAGGAGTGGACCAGGCAGATTCCAGATGTTTTTGGCAGGGACCTGGTAGGGCTTTGGTTGACTGGAGATGGGAGTGCGCCTGAGGTGAGGAAAAGTGAGACATCAAGGATTGTTTGACTTGATAGATTTGGATGCTGGGATGGTAACTGCTGCTGAGGTGGGCATGACCTGAGTGGAACAAGTCTGGAGGGAAAACCAGGAGGTCTGAGTAGATCAGATATTAAGTTTGATATGTCATTATTTGTCCAGGTAGATGCGACAAGTTGTAGACCAGCTCAGAAAAAAATGTTAAGACTGGAAATGATAGGTTTGGGCTACGTTTGCATATAATAGGTATTTAAAGCTTTAGGACTAGACTGCCTGAAAAGTCCCTGAAGCAAGCCCTTCCTGGCTCAGCTTACGCTTGGCAAGGGGCAGCAAGCAGGTGGGAAGCAATGAGGATGGGTTGGGTCTTCAGAAACAGAAACTGAAGACCATGCTGGGAACATGAGACTCTGCTTATAAAGTAGTAGAAATGATTGCTTTCTGTTTTTTTCACTTAGTTTGAAGTGTGCATGTAAATGGTACAGTTATCTTAATTTATTCAAATAA